CTACCTGAAGATGGAGTAAATCTCCGAAACGTCGTTTGTTAATGAAATAAACATTTAAAAAAGTCTTACTGTGGTCTATATATTGAACACAAAATATACTATATGTTTCCTAAACTGACAAAGCATTACTGGGCGAGTAACAGAATTTTATAGCTAATCTAAAATACATGAAACAGATGAACACAAAATTTTCCTTTTAACCGAAAATATTTTAGTGATCGTGTACAGTTTTTCCATTTGCAAATTTCACTATATATAAACTGTCTATATCTCAGATTAATTCAAATTTAACTGTGCATTTTAATATCTACGTAGTCGTTTATCTGTATGATGCAATGCCAACATATCTAAATAAACTTTAACTTACAATTCGATAGGTAAATTTTGTTCAGCCTCGATATGAATTTCAAATAGTATTAAATACTAAATTATTCAAGAAATTATATTTAATATATTCCAAATCAATTTTCTTAGCAACGACTATGCTGCTAGCAACTTCATAACGACTCGCACTTCATAACGACATGCATAATGAGTTTATAGCGAAGTAACCCCATAGTAATGATGTAGGAAAAGCCTTGCAAATGATTAACTGAGCTGTAATACACAGACCAAGTTGTCATCACCAATTCATAAAGTTATCAGACAGTTCCGCGCAAAGTTCTTCAAATTCGCCAAAATCTGATCTGAAAAAGTAGTGCATTCCGTTTGACAATCATGTGTATATGGATTCAGGATGGGGATCAAAATCGAACAAACTGGAAATATTTTGATAGCTCTCTAATAAAGATTAATGTGAAGTATTTTCAAACAGTAAGGTTATGTAATAGTGAAAAAGCTAGTTGACATAACAACTTAGTGTTGTGTTCTAGTAGCGGAAGTGCGTATAGACGGAAGTGAACTGGTAGCGGGATTCGGGGAAGAGGACTTACGGGGAAGGACAGAGGACAGACGGAGACACGAGGCATAGATGAACCGATGTATATATTTCATAATAGTTTCCCATAAGTATTAACGTTCACATTACATATCTATATTGTTTCTTACAATATAACATTGGCGACGAGGATAACCTCAACATTCGATTACTATGGCAGGATTAGATTTCTCGGGAATTCAACAGTTTGATCCTCATTCAGAGCCAAGTTCGCTGGCTTCGCAGTGGAAAGAATGGCTGCAACGATTCAAACGATGTATAGTCGCTTTTGACATCAAAGACAAAGCAAGGAAACGAGCTCTATTGTTATACCTGGCCGGTCCAAAGGTGGAAACAATATTTGCCACGCTCTCTGATACGGGAGAAGAGAACGACTTCGATAAAGCCATAGAGAAATTGACAGAGTATTTCGCGCCGAAGAAAAAACATTCTATACGAGCGACATATTTTTCGCCAAGTCAGCCAGCGATCTGACGAAACAATTGACCAATTCTGTACACGACTGAGACATCGTGCCTCGACATGCGAATTCGATAATGTAGAGGACGAGATTAAAACACAAATCGTGGAAAACTGCAGGTCTAGTCGACTCAGAAGGAAAGCATTTCGGGATGACCCCAAGCTGGATGATTTGATTAAATACGCGAGAGCACTGGAAATTTCTGATCACCATGCTGAAGAAATGGAAAAGCAACACCGTCAGGAGGTTGTGTATCAAAACACCAGACGAGATTTTCCGCCAAGGGATATAAAAGGTAAACAAGCACAAACTTGTTATAATTGTGGAGGGACGTACCCCCACCAAGGCAGGCCCTGCCCCGCTGCAAGCAAGACCTGTCATAATTGCTCAAAAAACTGGACATTTCGCTCGAGTTTGTAAGTATGAACAAAAACCAATCTCTCGAAAACC